TCAAATAAACAAATCTTTTAAAAATCGATACAAAACAAAAAAAAACCAAAAGATAGAGAGAGAGAGAGAGAGAGAGACAGAGAGACAGAATTATGCGCCCAACAGAAAGCGTGGCTCAGAGATGCAGGAAACTTAACCTTTAATTGCCCAGGTTGAAAAAACTGAGTAAGTTTAGACTATTATTTGGCTGTTTTTCTTTATTTTTTTTTTTCTTTTTAAAGATCTATTTATTTGAAGGCAGAGTTACTGAGAGGCAGAGGCAGAGGCAGAGGCAGAGAGAGAGAGAGAGAGAGAGAGAGAGAGAGGTCTTCCATCTGCTGGCTCACTCCCCAGATGGCAGCAATGGCTGAAGCTGGGCTGATCCAAAGCCAGGAGCCTAGAGCTTCTTCTGGGTCTCCCACGTGGCTGCAGGGGCCCAAGGACCTGAGCCAGCTTCTACTGCTTTCCCAGACCATAGCAGAGAGCTGGATTGGAACTGCAGCCGGGATTCAAACCGGAGCCCATAGGGGATGCCAGCACTGCAGGCGACAGCTTTACCCACTAACCCACAGCCCCAGCTGCTAGCTGTTTTTCTTTAAGGAGAAACATGTTCATCAAATATCCTGGTAGTAATGAGGGACTACAACGCAGGACTTGCCAAGAACTCACAAATAGAGAGACAAGTCGGCACCTCAGACTTAAATTATAAAGTAAGCATATCATGAGTGTGAAGAACAATTACAAAAGGTCATCTCAGAGAGGTACACTGGCAGACACGGATACACCACTGCTCCTCCAGGCTGCCCTGGGCCAGCAATGTCCCAGGCATGCCAGGATCCTGGCACAGAGCTAGGTGAATGGGCTGCCCTAGCTCTGACTCAGCGGGCAGCAAATAGATTTCTGATCCCAGCCAGCAGTAGTGAAAGGAACACCAAGTCAACTGTGAAGGGAAATCATAGCCTGGTTTCACTGGCTTCCTGAGAGCCTGTCCTTACCACATCATAGATGACTAGATCAGAATCAGACCCAAGCCCAGTCCATCATTTTTCCAAAGAAGGAAAAACATCCGAAGTATGTGAAGTGTGACTCTTGGTTATCAGATTCAGTACCTGAGAGTGAGACTACCTTCTGCTTTACTAAGGATGGTGGTTTCTGAGCTTAGAAAGCTGGAGACCTTAGCACAGGTCTGTAAAGCCTTCTAGGCGGGGCAGTGTTGTGACACCGGTGCCAGTTCTAGTCCTGGCTGCTCTGCATCTGATCCAGCTACCTGATAATGCACCTGGGAAAGCAGTGGAAGATGGCCCAAATACCTGGGCCTCGGCTACCCATGTGGGAGACCAGGATTGAATTCTGGGCTCCTAGTTTTGACCTGGACCAGTCTCAGCTGTTGCACCATTTGGGGAGTGAACCAGCAGGTACAGGATCTCTCTCTGTCACCCTGCCTTTCAAGTAAGTAAATAAATATCTCTAAAAACAAGAATAACAACAAAAAACTAAGAAAAGACCTAGAAGGTAGGCTGCTTATACAAGCTATTGTATAAACCATTATCAAAACAAGAAAATAATACATGTTGACAAGGATGTAGATACCCTCTCACATTGCTGGTGGGAATGTAAAAAACAGTACGGTCACTGTGGAAAACAGTATGTTGGGTCCTCAAAAAAAAAATCAAACATAGAATTACCATATGATCTAGCAATTCTACTTCTTGTTATTTCCCCAAAATAAATGAAGGCAGAAACTCATAAATACACCTGTATACCAATGATCACAGCAACATTATTCACAATCGTTACAAGGTGGAAACAACCCAGGTGTTCATTAATAGATGAATGCATGAACATATGTGGCATATACATACTATGGAACGCTATTCACTGTTAAAAATTCCTGATACATGCTATACCATCAATGAGCCTTGAAGACATTATACTTAGTGAAATAAACCAGACATGAAGATGTAATTCCACTTACAGGCAGTACCTATAGTGGTCAAATTCACAGAGAAAGAAGGGAGATCAGAGGCTACCAGGGGCTCAGGTGGCAGGAGTTTCAGCACAGAAGGATGAAAAAGCTCTACAAATGGGTGCAGGTGACGGCTGTGACAATGTGAATGGACTTAATGTCACTAAACAGTACACTAAAAAATGGTAAATCTGTGTCAAGTGTTGTGGCACAGTGAGTCTTAGCTACTCTGTGTTTCCAACTCAATTTCTTGCTAATGTATCTGGGAGGCAGATACTTAGATCCCTGCCATCCACAGGGGAGACCAGGATGGAGTTCTTGGCTCCTGGCTTTCGCCTGGTCCAGCCCTGGCCACTGCAGCCATTTGAGTAGTGAACCAGCAGATGGAAGGATTCCTTTCTCTTTCTGTCTCTCCCTCTGCTTGTCACTCTGCCTTTTAAATAAATAAATAAATAAATCTATCTATCTTTGAGGGGGGGAGGACAAAACCAGAAATGGGTGTCTGTGGAACTTATGCCATGCACAGGAGTTAGTACACTTGTATTTCCAGGCCTACTGTATGTGTATATTAGCTCATGGACTCTTTACACCAACATTTTGAGAGAAGCACTATTATTATCCCCATTCTACAGAAAAGCGACAGCCTAAGGAACTGCCCCAGGCTACAGAGTTAGTGAGTGGCAGAACTGAAAGCCACTCACTAACTAGTTGCAGAGTCTGATGTCTTAACCAGGTCTCAACACTACACTGCCCTTACAGAGAGGCCACAGTAAAGCTCAGCAGGTCTCCTCCCTGACCCCCAAACCAACCTGAAGCAGCTACAAGTACGTGAGCAGGAGCTGGAAGCAGCTGGACAGCCTGCTGTGCTGCAGCCACCTCCTCCCTAAACAGGTTTCAGAAGTCCGGCTGCAGGGCACAGCCGCTAAGCCTTCGAGGATGTCACCCCAGGATGGCGCATGGCGGCAGAGCACCTGTGGTGCCAGGTGTTCGTTAGGAGGGCTGGGATAATCTTCTCATAATTCCAAGTATTCCTCTTAGGCTATCCAAAGGAATCCTGAACCACATAAAGACACCTACAAACCACCCATCTAGGAATAATAACATTTAAGACAAGGACACAAATTGATTCAGATTCAACCAATATTTAGCAAAGTCTTACAATGAGCCACGTATGTCTCTAGGAACTAACTCATTTCATTTTTGCAACAATCCTATGAGATAGGTGCTATTTCTAACTCTGAGAGGGAGAAAACGGAGGCACAGGAGGCTAGAAAAGTTGCCAAAGGTCATGAAGCCAGCAGGTGAAGTGAAGGAAGAATCACCATTACCCTGTGCTGCTGCTCCTAAGAGTTATGCTCTTGAAATAACCAACAATCAAATAAATATCAATAATCAGTGTGAATATGCGGGGGGGGGGGAGAGGGTTGCTGCACTTCCGCATCTCAGTGACTCAGTGTTTCCAACAATCTAAGATGGCCCCTGGGGGAGGTACTTAGCCTGACAGGAGACTTCCGTATTCATGGACAGTATGTGTCCTCGGCTGTGATAGGCCCTTGAGGGCGTGCCCGGCTGTTGTCCTGCCTTACCTTTCAGCTGGTTGGCTCAGTTCCCTTGTGCCCAGGACAGCCCCCTTTCTGTGTCTATAAAAGCTCTTCCCCTCCCAATAAAGTCGAGAACCCAGCTGCGCCCTGGGCGTTGACTGATCTCCCGGCTCTGGTGTGGTTCCTTTGCCACCGACACTCATCATCCCGCTCGGCCCCTGAGCTCCCCAGGCTGGCCCTGAGGAGCTCTATGGGACCTGCTGTCCCGTGACGAGCAGCATGAATAAAAGTCACAAATGCTCTCAATGATGCAACATTCATTTTAAACTCAATTTTAGGAGCTACATAACCCACCTAAAACATTTGAGTAAAAAAATTACGGCCTTCCTCATTCAATAAATCTGTTTCAAACATCTTGGTACCTTCTGAAGATTTCAAACACCAGTAACTGGAAGTGATAATTCTCAGGCCTATCTGTGCTTCATACTAAATCTATCTGACAGCAACTTTTTTGCCAAGTAATCTGCCAGTCCGTATCTACATGCCACAAGTATTTTACAGAGTTGTTAAAAACTGAACACAATAAATCAGAAAATAATTTAGATGCTTTAAAATTCTTCTCAGCTACCTCTTCCCTTTGAATTTAATGTTTATGTAAAAAGCAAAATTAAGCAAGTGGTAAAAGTAAACAAATGGTAAAAACTTTCTTCAAAACACAAAACCAAAAATTGCACATAGCCATAATTACTTGAACAATTTAGGTTGACACATGTGAAAAATACCTCATGTCCTGGATCAGTGAGACCCTGAGTGTGGGGAGCATGACCCCCGAGTCAGACTTTCTTCTTTCTGGTCCCAGGGCAACTATGTGGAAAAATATCAACAAAGTATTAGAAAATATCAGCAAAGACTTAAAAAAAAAACTAGACTTCTTCACATTCTGTGAATAAATACTCTGAAACTGCTTTCTTAAGAAAAAATTTGAAAGGCAACAGAGAAGCTCAGATTTGGTTCAATGAACATTGTCAACCAGTTATCTTCTTTGTAGCCAATCTGAGGTTGGATTTGAAATTCAAATGTTATTTTTCAGGTCCACCTAGCAGAATACTGCAATATGTAACTTTTGTTTATTTATTTATTTATTGACAGGCAGAGTGGACAATGAGAGAGAGAGACAGAGAGAAAGGTCTTCCTTTGCCGTTGGTTCACCCTCCAATGGCCACTGCGGCCGGCGCACTGCGCTGATCTGAAGGCAGAAGCCAGGTGCTTCTCCTGGTCTCCCATGGAGTGCAGGGCCCAAGCACTTGGGCCATCCTCCACTGCACTCCCTGGCCACAGCAGAGAGCTGGCCTGGAAGAGGGGCAACCGGGACAGAATCCGGCGCCCCGAATGGGACTAGAATCCCATGCTGGCGCTGCAGGCAGAGGATTAGTCTATTGAGCCGTGGCGCCAGCCACAATATGTAACTTTTGTCCATAAGTGCCAGTATGCCAGTATTTTCTTTCCATTTAAGATTTTATTTATTTATTTGAGAGGCAGAGTTACAGACAGAGAGAGGGAGACAGAGCTCTTCCATCGCTGGTTCAACCCCCAAGTAGCCACAATGTACAGAGCTAGGCTGATCCGGAGTCAGTAGCTTTTTTCAGGTCTCCCATGCAGGTGCAGGGGCACTTGAGCCATCTTCCACTGCCTTCCCAAGCCACAAGCAGAAAGCTGGATTTGAAGAGGGGTAGCCAGGACACTAACCAGCACCTAAAATGGGATGCCAGCACCGCAGGTGGAGGCTTAGCCTACTACGCACAGCGCCAGCCCCAAGTGCCACCATTTTCTAAATCTAGACATTCATAATAGCTCTGGGTAATCCCTTCAAACAACTGTGTATAAATTAAGCTACTGTGTGTGTGAATCATGCCTGTGCTCATGAACTGAGATCACACAGTTTAAACTCTGGAAGAGTATATTAAAAATACCTAAGAGTTTGAACTCTTCAGTATGATATATTTCTACCTTAAAGTTTTTATTTATTAGAGAGAGAGAGAGAGAAAGAGAGAGAGAGAGATTGATCTCATCTGCAGGAACCAGAGAGCTGGTACTCAAACCTATACACTCCAACATGGGGTTGGTATGTGGCTGTCTTAACTACTAGGCCGAACATCTGCCCCTAACCTTGTAATTCTGTTTTCCATTACCTTTCCAAAGTACTTCCCTACAGCTTATTAATAACTTGGGAGGAAGAGTTCAGAAGCCTGAGAGCTGAAGGCAGACAAGGGGTTAAGGTATGAAGTCACACTTTCCATCCAGAGTTAAAATCTAAGGTTTCCTTGATGTCTACTCCAGCCAGGAGATAAACTTATAAACTATTTCAGTGTTCAATTTCATTAATATTTCTTTCTTTTCTTTTCTTTCTTTCTTTCTTTTTTTTTTTTTTTTGACAGTGTGGGGAGCAACTGGGAGCAACTCGGACTAGACTAAGTTACTGGAATTAAGACTTATTCTATGCATCTGCTCTCCCACAATATGGCGCTGGGAGAGGAGGAAACAGCTTCTACACAGCTGCCTCCAGTTCAACCAATAAGCAGCAGGACCTGCTCCTGATTGGAGGAGAGCAGCGTACTCGGCGTGTGGGTAGCAGAGTTGGGATTGGTGGAAGAGGACTATAAAGGAAGATAGAGACAACATGCACCAGGAACATCTATCTGAAGGAACACCTGTGCAGCCCCCGAGAGAGCCGGCCGGCGGTGTGCCGCTCCCCCGCAGAAGTGGGGAAAGTGGCAGGGGGAACCGCCCTTCCACGGAGATGGAAGGGATGGTAGCCAACCCGGGAAGAACCAGCAGCAAACCCGGGGAGGGCCGAGCAGACGAAAAAGCAGCGCAGGGTCCTGTGTCGTTCCTCCACGAAGAGGGGGAGCGACATAATGGTGCCGTGACTCGGATAAGAAACCTAGGAGGGAAGAAGCGGGAAGAAGTGGGAAAATATCGGAGAGACAGACTTGCAAAGAGCCTAGGGAAAAGCCGGACGGAAAAGGTGCCGGAAGAAGCTATCGAAAGCCTAGGCATAGACTCGGATACGGACTGTGGGAAAGAAGTTAGGATTTAAAGTGAAAGCAAGAAGAAACTTAGACTCAGATATGGACTGCAGGTTGAAAGTGAAAGTGAAACCTAGAAGAAACTTAGACTCAGATACGGACTGTGGGGAGAAGCCAGGAGAAGTGAGAGGGGAATATTGTTGGAAGAAAAGTTAGGGAAACATACCGGGTAGAGAAAAATATGTTAGGGAGGATGAAGCCGCGAGTGCAGGCTGAAGCGGAGACGTAAGCTATCTTGGGATTCTTCAAGTCAGCCCGGGGAGCAAAAGGCGAAAATCTGGAACCAGAGGCAGAGACGTGGGCTGCCAGGTTGGAATCCGTCAGATTAGCCCGGGGAGCAAAGGACGGGAAGCCAAGCCGAAGGGCGCAGACGTGAGCTGGGTTGAATTCGCCAGGTTAGCCCGGGGAACTTGGACTGAATACCGGTGGCGGAAATGTGAGCTGGGCTGTGTGACTCGCGGAAGCCACCGTGCGCAGAGAGAGCGCGTGGGGCACAAGTAGATAGGGAACCCGGGGCTAGCGTGAGGCCGAGGCCGTGGTGCGGACGCAAAGGGCGCGGAGACCGTGGAGCGCGCGGAGCCGAGAAGCAGCCTCGGGGCGGGCGCCGGGAAGCCGCAGGGATAAGAGAAACAGAAGTTTAGAAGTAAAATGAGAGAAATAGGAATGCTGGCAGATAGAAGTAAAATAGGAGAAATACGAATGCCCGGAGATAGAGAAATAGAGAAAAATAAGGCCTCCCCACAACATGGCAATGAGAGAGCTTGGATTCGGTCTGCCTGATTAGTAAGACGATAAGCACCTGCAGGCAGTTCTAGCGGAGCAGAGCATGCGCTGCAGGGCACTGAACACAGGCACGCATCAGCGCCTAAAAACCTCCTCACAACATGGCGAAGAGAAGACCCGGATTCGGTTTGCCTGTTTGGTAGGGCTTGTAAGCACCTGTGGGCAACTCTAGCAAGCAGAGCAGAGTGTGCGCCGCGGGACACCGAAGACAGGCGCGTATCAACGCCAAAAATAAAAAGAAAGGGGGATCTGTGGGGAGCAACTGGGAGCAACTCGGACTAGACTAAGTTACTGGAATTAAGACTTATTCTATGCATCTGCTCTCCCACAATATGGCGCTGGGAGAGGAGGAAACAGCTTCTACACAGCTGCCTCCAGTTCAACCAATAAGCAGCAGGACCTGCTCCTGATTGGAGGAGAGCAGCGTACTCGGCGTGTGGGTAGCAGAGTTGGGATTGGTGGAAGAGGACTATAAAGGAGGAGAGAGACAACATGCACCAGGAACATCTATCTGAAGGAACACCTGTGCAGCCCCCGAGAGAGCCGGCCGGCGGTGTGCCGCTCCCCCGCAGAAGTGGGGAAAGTGGCAGGGGGAACCGCCCTTCCACGGAAGTGGAAGGGATGGTAGCCAACCCGGGAAGAACCAGCAGCAAACCTGGGGAGGGCCGAGCAGACGAAAGAACAGCGCAGGGTCCTGTGTCGTTCCTCCACAAAGAGGGGGAGCGACAGACAGGTAGAGTTATAGACAGTGAGCAAGAGAGATAGAGAGAAAGGTCTTCCTTCCGATGGTTCACTCCCCAGTGACCGCCATGGCTGGCACTGTGTCAATACGAAGCCAGGAGCCTGGTGCTTCTTCCTGGTTTCCCATGCGGGTGCAGGGCCCAAGCACTTGGCCCATCCTCCACTGCCCTCCCGGGCAACAGCAGAGAGCTGGATTGGAAGAGGAGCAACAAGGACTATAACCGGCAACCATATGGGATGCCGGTGCCACAGGCGGAGGATTAACCAAGTGAGCCACGGCGCCAGCCCCTCATTACTATTTCTTAGTGCAAAGTACTTGAAGGCAACAGGCCACTTTTTCCTTCAATATGAAGATTCAGAGATTTAATATTTGGCCATGGGAATTCTACCTAAATTACTGCAGGCAGCCTGCATAGACAGCAAGTGTGTAGAGGACAGAGATCAGACACAATTCTACAGAACCAGGTACAGTCTACAGGCAAGTAAGCAATTAACAGAAAACTTGCTGAAGGTAGGATGATTCTAGACTGACTGAGAACTCTTGAGCTGGATCCAGAAAAACCATTTAAATGCAGCATTTCAGGGACAGTGTTTTGATTGACTACTGGTTTAGAGAGATCTGTATGTTATTCTTAAACTCTGTACTCCCAGACAAAGTCCTACTAAATTGAAATGGATATTTAAGTTACTTGGCAAGGTGTAAGGGTAGGGCACAGACCAGGGTGGGACTACTGCATTTAATCATTATCTATTTTGAGAGGCATAGAAATAGATAGAGATTTTCCATCTGCTGGTTCACTCCCCAAATGCCTGAAACAGCGACGGCTGGGTCAGGCCAAAACCACGTGCTGGAAACTCAATCTGGGTCTCCCAAGTAGGTGGCAGGAACCCAACTACTTGTGCAATCACCACTGCCTCCCAGGGACTACATGAGCAGGGAGCTGAAATGGAGAGCAGAGCTGGGACTTGAACTCAGGCACTCCAACACAGGATACAGGTTTCCAAGTAGTGTCTTAACTGCTGCAGCAAACAGCCACCCCTGGCCAACGTTTTTAAAGAGAGAAACCTCAGGGGGTTTGTAACAAAGAGTCCTTGTTACAGGATCAACTGCATTCTGAGACTTTCTCTGAAACAAGATTTAAGGTACTGAAGGCAGGGATCACTTGGTCAGCATTAACACAGCCTACGCACAGATTCCTGCTAGGACGTGGGACAGACCCCTGCCATTCTGCCGACACCGGCTTAGCAGTGCTT